TTGCCTCCACGCACCACCGTACATGGCATGGCAAGAGCAGCGAGATTGTAGTCATCCACATCCAGCAGAACAATGAGATTCGCGGAACATTTCCAAAATCCACTCAGAACCCTGTTCTCTCCTACGACGCCCGCCGTGTCACAAGAGCTGACCTTCCATTTGCCACCATTGGAGTTTTCCGTCAGCCATGGTGCGGCAAAAGACGACATCCAGAAGGGCATCATGCCGCTCGTCACTGAGTACCACTGCAACGCAACCACAGGCGAGGCCAACAAGTCCGCAAATACGTTCAGTAAGCTACAATCCGTTTACAATCCTCAACACGGCCTCGTGAACTACATTATGGGAAAGTTCAAGAACCTTTGGAATGGAACACAAGACATGCCGTTGGCAGAGCGAATGGAGTTCACCATGTCGACCTCTTGCACAATTAAATCCATTGGCCGTCACCATCTTTACATGAAAGAAGGTTCAGGATTTGACAGAACGTTTCCGGATTGCATGATGACCTTTGCGTTCAGTTGGGGAAGGACTGACATCCAACGAGAATTCCGTCAATTCGAGATTGCCAAGCTCGACCAAGATACGATGGATTCCATGATCGAAGGTGTTGACAAAGTCATCTCCGATTACAAGGTCACTTCCGCCGAGCGCTACAAGCACCTCAACAATGAGATGCTAATGCTTGGACCATGCGACTCCGACTCTCACACCCCATTGCTGGTCTACATTCGCAGCCTTGCAGCTGATCAAGAAAGGAATTACCACCGCAAGAAGGAGTACAAAGAGAACAAGAAGAAGGAGAATGAGACAGCATGGAAGCCATGGAACCAATCCTATCAGCAAGGATGAAGAGCTCCGGCTATCAAGGTTGGGAAGATTATGGCGGAGGATATGCAAGCCAATCCGATAGCAGCTACCGTTGGTACTCGCAGAAGCGATGAGATGCTATGACGATCCACGCTGAGAACCATCACACGAAAAACGACGCCACGAATTCCAATCGATTGATCCTCCTGCACATCAAGACTATGCTCGTGAGTGATCAATAGTTTCACACCATCCCGCGTGTACAAAGTGTTTCTCACATTTCCGTTTTAGATGCAGTCATGTATCTCGTCCAATCAGTACAAAGCATTTTGCATTCTGCCACCAAGACATTTCACCCGCGACAGAACAGGATGATTTAATTTTCGATATGGCTACGGCAAGCACACCATAAGTATGGCTACGGCTAAAGGCCATGAAGCCAAGCAGGGTCAAAAGAAATTGTGTATGTCTTGTGTTGCTTTTGCTTCGCAATTGACCCTGCACCACACACATACCATTTTGGCTCAAGGCCCTATCTTGTAGCACCGTTGCATCCTGCAGCCATTACAAAAGGACCTAGCAGAGCGCCTTGCAGGTATTCATTGTGCATATTACACCACCAGGGACTTCCATTCTCAGTTCCTCCACTATTGGCATATTGGACTCTCTTGCAGAATAGATTCGGGGACCTACAAATACATTCTCTACTACCACAAGGTACCAGCTCCCTTCGGGGATACGGTACCCCCGGCAGTGGGTCTCACCCCCGCTACTTTTTAGACTTTTGGCAGCGATTACAATGCACCCCGACTTGAATCATCACCTTTTCGACATCCCCCAACCCCCCGACTACTTTTAAGTGTTTCATCATGGAAACACCCCCCCTTTCTTTTTTTTAACATGCTTACATAAATACCTACCTACCTTGCCGGAGCGGAACTGATGATGAGACTATTTGCTAGTGATGCTGCGGATGTTGGCTGGACATGCGGGGGATGTTGAAAACGATGCTGATGATGTTGACGGGCTAGTTTTCGTACATGTCGTGAGAAATGCTGCAAAATACAGCATTTTACTAGCCGAGGCGCAAAAAACAACATCCCAAACAAAACCAAAAAAACATTCCCAAATTAAATCTTGACCCGTAAAGAAGGATGCTTAGACAATTGGGATCTTTCGGGGATACTTCCTCAAAGAAGCCGGCCGAAGGCCGGTCACAGGGCAACAGGTACATATTAGTTGCTGTTCTTTCGAGGGCTTCGGGGATGTCCAACCACATGATTGCGTCGGGCACCATAAGGATCAACCGTTGCAAGGGGGCAAAACGATCGGGAGAGCAAAAAGGCAAGATACCAGGAAGGTGTCCAAAGCGATAAGGAACGCCTAATAGTAGGCTTACGGAACGCACAGCAAGGTCAGCCAATCAGAAGATTTTAGACTTTAACGGTCCAATCTAGCAGGACTACCAGGTTTTATGTGATCAAGTCTAGCTGCATTGGACAACAGCATGCCTCAAAGCTCAATGGAATGTGGTTACCAGATCAAGGTTGAATGAATCATTGCTACTGCACCCAAAGTAATGCACTACCCTGTTCCCCTTGCTGAAAGCGCTAATATAGTCCCAGATTGAAACAAGACAGCAAAGGCCTCTGGCTCAAGGTCACCGACCGATTGAGCTGCCATATGTGATTCCTTCCACGGGGTGCGTGGCAATTTTGGCTCATACAGGGCAGGGCTTTGCAGTTGGGTCATTCGTGGATACCACTTTTGACACATCCAGCCCCAGCTGAGTTTGAGTTGTCCATTCGGTTGCCAGGGTCTTTCACCTGGTGGAATCTCAGCGGACTCTCGGAAAGGAGAGGACGCAGTCAACACATCGAACAGCCGGCCCTCCTCTTTGGCCATTTGTGTGGTTGATTTTCCAACATTAGAGGTACCTTACAAACATCTGTCAACGGAAGCTACTGCAGCAAAGTGGTTTGGAAAGGTTGTCAAATTGGCGTTTATCCTCTTTTGAGGCCCCCGTTCAAAGGAGGGTCCATGTGGAACCTGGGTCCTCAAGCTGGCCCATATTCTTCATGAGTCTACGAGACCGTTTGCTCAACTCCCCACAGATTCTGGACCTTGCCTTGGTAAGCATTTAGTAGCAAACAAACAGCATGGCCACTTTAGAGCCAATCCACTCAGGAACTCAGTTCATCTTTGGCTTTTCTGGTACTCGCCCGGCTTTGCTCCTCATGCCGGCCATTGTTTCAGCATGGCTGCAGCTGGCTGTGAGCGCCTCGCCAGAACAAACAGCAGCTGAGCCACAGCTTCCCCGTTGGGCTGAACAGCTTCCTGAAAAAGTCACACGGCAACGGTTGCTGGTGTCCTGTCGGATTCATTTTAGGAGCGACCAAACAAGCGGATTGCCTTAAGAGGAATTCCGGTCGAAGCTCGGGTAAACGTAGATCTCAAGTTGCTCGAAGGGATTGGTCAAGAAGCTCTTACCTTCCCTGGATTTGGATGAGTGCTGCGCTTGTCATAGCCTGGGATTGCTGTAATTCTTGGGTTTCATTCAGGGCGACTGCCTGTGTCATCCGCAATGTGCCTTTGATGCTTCGTCAAAGACAGCTTTCTCTTTTGTCTGTGACGTTGTGGGTTCTTCTGTCTAAAACGAGCAAACGAGATGTTTACAAGCACCAGACAATTCGGCAGGGCGCTTTTTGTTGTGTGCCTGATCACCGGGCTGTATCGCGAAGCAGGGTGCTCAAAGAGAAGTTGAGCGAGCAGCGTTTCCACTGCGCAAGTCGAGCTGGTGGACAGTTCGGCAAGGCACGCCCTGGCGATGTAGTTTTCATACCCACATCCGACTTTAGCTCCAGGTACCACGACTGTGTACATGTGTGTGTGTGTGCTGGACCCTCACCCAAAAAGGGTCCATCCATGGGGTTCCCCATGTACATTTAGGCCACCTGGCCGGCAGGTTTTGCAAAGCTGCCGGACGCATCGCGCGACAGGACATGGTGTGTTTGGTTGTTTGCTGCCAGAACTAGGTCCCCCAGTAATGCCCTTTTACCCTTTTTTTGGGGAGGGGTCCCCTGCTAAAATAGACTACAAAAAAGAAGTTGTACCCTTATTCTAACCTCTCTACTGGAGGACCTAGACAAGGTCTCTCTGAGTTCTGCTCCTTGGGTGACCGATGCCGTAAATCATCCATCGCGTCGCGAAGGCCACGCCTGCGTGACGGGCCCCGGGCAGGTGCCGTGCTGGCCGGGCCAAGAAGCCTGCGGCGCCCCCTTTGAGGCGAACTCCCAGCTCTGGTCGCAAGTCGAGTTGATGTTCTGCTCTTTTGACTCGCGATTTTCACAATGAGCCAATGGCTCAGAGGCCGCAAAAAGTCAACCGCAACTCATTCGTTGCTTCTGGAGCGAGACACATTCTTGGAACAGTGTGTCGTCTTTCAGGACACATGACCGTGCCTTCATGTTAGGAGTTCTGTCAAAATTCCTGGCTCCGGGAATATATCATTGAGATTTGGTTCGTCATTACCATGCTGTTTGGCATAGCTTAGTGAGCATGGGAGAGCTACACCACTCGCTTGACCATCTTGACCCAAACTGCCTGCCCGTGTCCAAGCAATCAAACAAACGGCTCTTCTCTTGGCAGATATTGGTCTTTTTGTCGTTGGCAATGCTTGATTCCAACCATTTGTTTCGCTTGTCATTGGTTTCGAAGGTGTCTATCTTGCCTGCGGATTGGGCGAGTGTGTGATTGACTTTGTGGATGTTGAATGCCAAGATTCAGGGGGGCTTACAATACAGATACGGACTCATCATGGCGACTTCGCTAGAAGGTCAAGCAGCCTCAGGAAATCTTTGCTTGGCTTGGTCAAGTATGAGCTAATTAATGCGCATGGACACACATACACAGGTGTGCACACAGCAAGATGTCGTTTGAGCAGGGGAGCTTTGTCCCACAACATGAACATGCACACCCAGCAGTCTTCTAAAGGGGGGCCTGCGCACCGGGCCACGTTTGAGAGGGTCAGCATTGTGTCTCAAGGTTGGGAGCCATATTCTGGAGGTGTTATACAAGGAAACCAGCTTCTTGGATGAAGTCTTCATGGTCTTTGTGTGCAAAAATGAAGTGTGGGTTCTCCCGGGCCTCAGAAGCCCGCCCGCGGCCAGAGCGCGCCCACCTACCACCTCATGGACCAGCAGGGCTGTGGGGAGAACGACCCCAACGGGCCTGCCACTCTTCAAAAACCGAGGGCTTGGACCGTGGGACCTTGGCCGTGGATGTTCCGGTCATAGAGATTATTTGGGTTTTGGGGGGCCGGGGATACAAGTTACTCATGGAAATAAACGGCTGCAGGGTTGCTCGAAGACTGGCTCTTCCTTTTGGGACGCCTTGAATTGCGGATGACCGCTGGCTTTGAGAACCACCGAACAGCCAGCGTTTTGTTGCACGGTGGAGCCCTGAGATGCTCCTCTACGCATTTGGGTGAGCTTTTTTGGAGTTGTGATACGTGGAGGGAAGCCAAGCGGGACTGCTCGTTTTAGGGTTCCCAGTTTAAACAGTGAGGTGTTTCTGCCGCGTTTCTTCTTGTTTGCTTCCCTGCAATGTCTATCAAAAGGCACGACATTTGAGCACAGGCTCGCTCCTGGTCCTTTTGGGATTCGAGTTGCCAAGAATGTGTTTCTGTCTCTGTTTCTGTTTCTGTTTGTGCGCTGGAGCCATTAGATGAAAACAACCACAATGGTAGCACAATGTATTTTTTTGCACTTCGGCTCATCCGTGAAGGAATCGAGTTGTGTTCACAGGCGAATTGACCCGTTATCAGACATTTTACCATTTTTAGAAACTACCGTTTAGTGTAGAGCTACACATCTTATTCTTACTTGTTTCTTGAAAGTTGTCCATAAGCTTGAGGCCCATATGTGTGAACATGGCTTTGGTCGCTTGTGGCTTGGGAGTTTTTCACTTCCTCACGGTGCCCCCTTGGATCTGTATTTCCTCTACGTGTTTGCAGTACTGTCACTTTTGCCAAGACGCACGGATGGGGGGAGGGGTCCAGATTCCAATACTGTTGTGCAATATTAGCTCTGCCATTCCTGCTGGCAGGGATCACGGACACTCTTTTAACTCAAGAGACTCTTGATCCAGTTGTGACTTAGGGATGATGGGCGCTTGTTTCACGGCGCATCTCCTTAGGCTCTGTTGGTGTCATGGGCCCATGAGCCACGCAGGTCTTCGACCCCGTGCACGGGGTGATCCACCACTTCTACCAACGCCACCTGGCGGCGGACCAGGGCGCGGGGCCGATCTACGGCCACTTCGCCAGTAAGGACTTTGTGCGCCTCGGCTTGCCGCCTGGGAGCGCGCCCAGAATCTGGCGGCTGATTGGTAAGAAACTCCCCCCAAAACAAAAAATGGCAGGGGTCAATAGAGGAACCCAAACACAAATCGGGTGTCAGAGTTGTTGAACATGGACGCGCTTTGTGGGGACAGACCGAACTAGTAACTGCTAGTACTTGGCAAACCTCTCACATGGAATCTGGTTTAAACCTGTTTTTTCTCCTGACCCGTTTCGCTGGAACATCCTTTTGGCCGTCAGGATCTCCAACGGACCCATATGTTGTGGTTCTGCCCTTATTCCCCCCCTGGAGCCAGCAGCCAAACACAAGGCACTGGGCGCAGCTGCCGGTGGCCATTTGGAACGGCCTGGATAGCTCGCACTGGCCGCCCCAGCGGCCGCCCAACCAAATTAGTGGAGCTGTTGGCAGTGTCATTCAATGCTGGCCCCTCAGACTTTTGGAGGGTCCTTCCCTCTGGTCCAGACTTCTCCGGTCTCCTCGCGGGCCGTCTCCTTCCGTCTCTTCTGTTTGGCCAAGAGGACTGCAAGAGGTGAGCAAAAGGAACATGTGTTAGTTGGTGTTGCTCGGAAGTGAGTCAGTCACTGACCATGGCCAATGGTGTCTAGGCATGGTTTAATTTATAGGGGTCGGCTTCGGGTGTTGAAAGTTATTTTCTGTGGATATCAGATGGCATTAGTGAGTGGAGGAGTGGAGGGAGTGGCTGAAGAGTGTTTGTTCACCTTGTGGCAAGCACGTACAAATTAGGCAATACTACATAAACCAATTCCAAAACATGACACATGATTGGCGTTTGCTATTTGAGGCCTTTACTCGGAAATGGGTGTGTCGAACGGCTTCCGGGCCCGGAAAAGGGGAAGCCTATGTAGATTCGCTCCATGTGATATATATATATATATATATATATACATGTATAGATAAATAAATATATATATATATGCATATACATACATTGATAGCATATTCTATGGCATTGAATCCATGAGCCACTCAGGGGACCCAGGAATCTCAACTTGCCTTCAGAAGGATGCTTTGGGCATCCTTGTTGGCCGTGCGGCCCTGTTAGCTATGGTTTCCTTGGGCCGCTTTGGACACCCATCTTATCAGTTCTGGCAATCGAGCGCGCCTTCCTTGGCCCTTTTGAGCTGCCATGGAACGTCCCGATCGATGCTGTCGGCTTGCACTTTGCTCTCTTCCTCATGTTTGCAGCGTTTGGCTCCGTTTCTGCAACCTTTCATACCCACCCATCGTTTGCCCAAAGCCATTCTTGGCCACTTGAAGACACAACTTTGCCCAGTCGTCAACCAATCTTGAGGGGGTTTTAGTAGAATCAACTCGCAACCAGTGGGCGCTGACATGTTTTAGCAAGCTTCGCAGAAGCCAGAGGGAGCCCAAATCCGTCTGCAAGCCAAGGACATACTATGACGACGTGGCCCCCTGCCTTGGAGAGAAGAAGGAAGCAACTTGCAGGCTGCGTGCTTGGGTTTTGGAAATAAGTCCTTACAGAATGGTTGCCCCTTAATGGGGATGGCATAACTTAGATTACTCAGGGCGGCTTGATCAGGGCTGCCTGAGAACTCCCTTGACATGGAGCAAGATTCAAGATGCTATATTTATCTGGAATCTGGAGAGGTGGTCTTTCCTAGGAAGTGGAGGCTTCCCCATGCATGGCCGACATCGCCCCCGACCAAAATTGGGTGAACACCAATGAATGCTGTTCGGCAACAATGAGCTCTGATGAGTCTGGGGCAATGGATGAGTAGCAATTGCATCTTTCCGTGACCTACGCATAGTTGGCGTCTCCAAAATCCTTGACAACATGTGGCCCGAAAGCATTCGTAGCATCAAGGAACTGCAACGTAAGCCTTGCTTTGCCTTCGGTTTGACAGGGCCACAGCAAGCCACAGCTCGCCACTTCCACACAAACATCTCCGTGACGACAGGGATGGATGCATCAGCAGGCTCGCTCTCACCTGACATGAGAAATCAAAAACGCAAACCAGCGTAAATCAATAAGTAAGAACAAACACGAATAAAACATGTTCAGGGTAGAAGAAGAAGAAGAAGAAGAAGAAGAAGAAGTGGTGCACCTGAAGTAGATTTGAACATTGCTGTTTGCGTGTTTTTTTCCTGCTGAACCTTGCCCCACTTGGCTCCAGCAACGGCCCCGGCTGGCGCAGCTTTTGATCACAGACAATACTGTCAGAAATAAATGCTGACCTCGCAGCGAAACACACGAAACACACAACTCTTGCCAGGCACGTACGTATGTGGAGGGAGGGAGTGAGTGAGTGAGTGAGTGAGTGAGTGAGTGAGGGAGGGAGGGAGGGAGGGAGCGAGTGAGGGAGAGAGAGGGAGAGAGAGAGAGAGACAGAGAGAGAGAGAGAGAGAGAGAGAGAAAGAGAGAGAGAGAGAGAGAGAGAGAGCCCAAAAACCTGCATGTGCGTGCGCATGTGTGTGTGTGTGTGGACGTGTAGGTGTAAGTGTATGTCTTCGGGTGTGCACACGGGTGTGAGGGTGCGAGGTTGTTAAAAAGGGACAGCTTTTCATCTGCTTTTGCCCAGCATGGGCTCCACTCACTGCGCCGAGGCCATTTACACGGGAAGCGCAGTGGTCCTGGAGGGCGCAGGGCCAAAGGGTGCCAGGGGCATCGTGCAGATCTACCCAGGCACACTTTTCACCCGTCGAGTGGTGAGGGTGGCATCTGAATTGAAGCCCGAACGCTTCCGGAGGATCCTGCTACCCAAAAGGATGGGATTGAGGGATAAGCATTCAAGAAAACATGTTGGGACATGATGTTGTTTTCTCGTGGTTGAGAAGCGGAGGTTTTGGACTTAGGAATTCAGATGGTTACCTGGTGGGCTCTTTTGGAAATGGGCTACAGTTGGGATGCACAATTACCCCCTGGTGTAAGGATTCTTGCAAACTTAGCGGCTAAGTAAGATGGCTAAGATGCCAAGCCAAGAGGCAATGCCCACCAGTAAAGTTGCAGGTCAGGAGTGGAACCCCTTTTCATTGACGTGGATGAACCGATTTGCTCCAAAACCAACCAGCACAACATATAATAGAATTTGTTGCTCGATCTGTGTACTGCCATTGGTCCTTTGCCAGATCTAGTGAGAAAAGGTTCTCGGTTTGTGTCTAAAGTTTGAGCCTGCGGCAACAAGCAGCAGGCGATGCCAAACCCACACAGACTTCAGAAGATAGGGAAAGGATAGGGTGGGAATATGAATGCCCTTTATTGTCCCATGTTGTTCGTAGCCAAACCCTGCCCACATCATAGTTGCAAACTAAGAGCCGAAAGGGGATTGAGAGCTCACAAGTTTGGGCCAGACAGTTGTTTGTGTGAACGGTGAACTTGAAGCAAGGCAAGGACAAAGGCTATTGTTCCACTGCGGCTTTGAGCTGGGAGTAAGACATAAAATGCACCAATGCGATACGAAAACAACTCAAGCCGGTGTCAGTTGTCAGAATTGTGAAGCCTTTTGGACAACGGGGTTCACTCACTACTCTTTGCAGGCCAGTTCTACCCAGTTAGACGTGTTTTCCCCCATGAAGCGAGCCACGGGCACCTGAGCAAATGACGTCTTGGCTGGAGCTTTCCTGTTTGGTGCGGAAACCTGGGCATGGAGGGAAGAGAGGGTGAAACAGAGAGATGCTCCATGGCAAGTCCTCGGTGTTTCCATGTTTTTCATAAGTCGCTGGCATGTTTCCAGGGCCACTAATTACCTAGGCCAAAAAGGTGAGCAAGGCGATCCATGGGCCCAGCGCGATTTCTTTGCCGGCCAGGCCTTTGCTCTGAACATAGCTGGCCGCTCTGCGACACTGGCACCCTTCTGGCGCAAGCGGTGCCAGCCACCTGGCGGCAGTTATGCGCAAGGGCATGCTTCAGGAGGGGATCCAACCTATGGAGGTCTGGAAGCTCCGTCTCAAATTGGTGGATTTTTGAAAGGGTTCCAAGCCCCTGTCAAGCCCTACCGCCTTTGGTGCCTTTCAATCCTCATGGGGCCGTTTCCGTCGCACGTTGCTGAGCAAGTTTGCAAGTTGAGGCGAGCTACGCGACCGATGAGCTGCTGACAAATTGGACGAAGCCCAGCTACAACCCCATCATAGAGAACACCCAGCGGGACCCCACTACACCCTGGAAGGACGCCAGTGGCGAATGGAAGCGCCTCAGCCCAGGAGTTTGGGATGACCCATCAGCTTGGGGTTGCTTTGGTAGGTGAAGAGCTTGACCACGGTGGGCTCAGGGCAAACATGTGTATGTGTGTGTGTTTCTTTTTCGGGAAAAGGCCCAAAACAAGTGGTTTCCCTTTGTAGCTACATGTTACGAACCTACCGGTTGGCCATGGATGGGTTTCTTGTCGCAGGCTCCGCACCTTTGACGGCGGCTTCTACGGCGCCGCCTCGGATGCGGATTTGCTGAAGGGCCGGTGGTACGACCTGGGCAGAGGCCGGGGCCTCAGCTACTCGAAGTGCCCTAAGATTGATTGACACCTTGAGATGTGGGGTGCTTCTTTTCTGCAGAAAGGTGAAGCAAGCACAACCCGGTTTGGAAGTGTGTACAATTAGGGAGTCGAACTTTTGAGGACCCATGTTTTCCTGTTGGTGCCCCATGTTGGGTGCCCCATGTTGGGACCTTGGGACCTGACGAGAGGAGCCATTTGAAGGCCCATGACTTGCCAGGGATCGGGTTTAAACCATTCTTGTTCGTGAGCGACTCACTGTCTCGAGAGCTGGAGTTCCTTCGCCGCGAAAAGCACCCAGCCGTTGCATGAGGCCCAGATGACCAGTGGCCCGTTTGCGAATGTCCAAGCTTCTTCCCCTTGCCAGGCGCGTCAGCGAGGCTTTTGGAGGGGAATGGGTGCCCAAGAAAAACTCAGCAAATCATTGGCTTCTTTTAGGTTTCCTTGAAAGACACCGTTTCAGAGGGGGGAACCTCTGAAAGACCCTCTCCCAAACAACTCAATATGTTGATATACCTAAAACCGAACCACAAGAGGATGGAAAATTGTGTCTTTTGCAGACCCTAGGCTTTGTTTCCCGCCTAGCCCAGTTAGTGCACGGGCCACATGAAGCAAACCGCGCCCCGAAGGAGATGGGTCTGCTTGAAGCCACCAGTTGGATGGCAGAATCCCCGTCCTGCTGGTTTCAGCCAAATTCGGATCCAATCACAACCAACCCAACGACTTTTGGTCAAAGGGACATCCCTAATCTTTGCCGGTTCAACATGTGACTTGCACTCTTGCAAATGAATCACAGGGTCGTTGCCCCCAGAGTTCTTCTTGCTGCCATTGTTTCATTTGCTGCTTTTTGCCCCCCCCCCCCCCGGTGAGTCAGCGAACAGACCCACAGAGGGCATGAAGCTTTCCGCTTTCTTCCCTTGCCATTGGGCATTGAAGGAGACGCAGTCCAAGGAAGCATTCGAGGCCACCAATACGAGGTGTCATGAAAACCTTCCCACTGCGGAAGAAATATTGCATCTTCTATCAGCTCATGGAAGGTCTGTCGCCCCGTACGTGGAAGATACCCGCCACGCATGTGGGTTGCAAAAGGCCCGCGCTGAGTGGTGAATGTGTCTAGAGGTCTATAGGTGTGTCTCTTCATTTTGGGGGACCCCCCAAAATGCTCGGTTTTTTCCTGGCCGTCCGCTGAAGACCAAACCGGGTGCCAACCAAACGACACATCCGCCTTGGGAGAGCCATGCGGAAGGTCCGACCCCGGGCTTCGAGGCGGAGTACCAGGCAGCTTGAGACCAGCTCAGTGGGTTCCATCACAGGTTGAAAGTGGCACAATTTTCCTGGTAGGGGGATTCCAACGTTCACACAACTTAATCATTGATTTTGTTTGGTGGATTCCCCACTAACCATAGTGAACCCAGCAAGCAAAAAGCTATGAGTCCTTGTCCACGAGGGTCACTGGGCAACTGGGTCCGCTTTGCTTCCTTTCGCTGAAGGCGGCTGAGAACTTGCCCAGCCACGTGCAGAAGCTGAGCTGCGAAGGCAGAGAGAGCGCTTTCAGGAGGTTGTCTATGCTTTAAAAGTGGGATCTCCTAGAGGGCTTGTGCGCATAAAAGAGGTACAACTTCATGTAATTTACGGGAAATCGGGTCTTGTACAAAGGTCATTTCTGAGAGCTTGAGCCTTTGAGAGCATGGTCGCAATGGGGCTATGATCTTCACACTTCCGCTTGCAGGAGAGGGAAGACGTTTAGCCAACGAATGAGTTTTGGTTGTCCCTTTCAGGGTTCGTGCATCACCTGCCCCACAGGGCAGTGTGAGATTCAATTGACATCAGGCGCAGCCTACGGGACCCGGGCCCCCACCCACCTAAG